GCTGTTTTCAAAATAAAATGTAATTGTGCTTTAAAAGGGCCCAAACTGAAAAGAAGTATTTGTGAGTTATTACATAAAATGTTTGAATTGTCCCAAAACAAGGTTATTTTTTTTTTTAATTCACAGCTCATAACTTATTTCTAAGAATTTCCATAATTTGGAAAGAATAAAAACAAAAAATCTAAAATTAAAAAACAAACAAATACCAAATTGCATAAAGGAGAAACCGCTCTCATTCTATTTTTCACTGGTCTGTATAGGGCTAACTACACCAGGGACATGCCCTGCTCCTCCTTGAAATGTTGGATGCAGGACCAAGCACAAGACCCTTTGAAGAGGCTCAGCCAGCCTCTCGAGGAGGATGTTTGTTGCTGAATGTACTGCTCTGGCTCCGAGCAATAGAAATAAATTTTAAACTGAGAATGAAGGGGAAGAGGCTGCAGGATCCTATACTGATCACCAGTTATGTTGCCATCAGTGGGAGTTTTGCGAGAGACTGATGGAGCCAGGATTAGACCTTTGATATGTTTGCTACTGGTATTAGTACCCTCTGGCTCTGTCAAATCACGCTGATCTAAAAGTTAGAGGGAGGCGTGGGAAAACACCTAGCAAGTGGTGTTAAAGCCATCTGCAAGTTTAGCACATCTTTCTCCATAGCAGCAACCCCAGGACCGGGAAAAGAGGTTTTGCTAGACCTCCTCCTCTACTAAGCAGCAGCTTCCTGGTTGCATCGCTAGGTGGGTGATGTGGACAGTGTTTCCTAATAGTGGGGGTGACTAGCAATTGTGCAGAGTCTCTTGAAAGAGGAAGGATGTCTTAAGCTAATTCTAACTCAGCTAATTTCCCCTTGAGCCCTCATGTACAACCACAGGCACTATCCCAATCACCCAGTAGCCTAATTCTTGTCCCCAGTGGTGTGCTCTGTTGATCCTTGAGCATGGTCTGGCTTTGTACAGGCCCTAGACTATCCATCGTGACAGTCCATGCCTTTGGTTTTTCCAAAACCTGCTTGATTTATGACATGAAGTGTAAAATACTATTACTGCAACAGTAGGATTCTGTTGGAGTCTCAAAAAAAGATAACGAAAAGACCATGGGGTGAGCCAATTGTTTTCTTGATTATAGGACAAACTAGAAAACTATAGAAAAAGTAAAAACACAATTAACATGAGGGTTTTTTAAGCTAGCCTAGAGGTGAATAATAATTTAATGCTTTATTGTAAGATCTTAGATACCTGTTTCCCTGTTCGGTGGATGCTCTATCCCACATTGCCCTCTAGCGAGGCCATTGCAGAGCAAATAATGCCTTCCAGCTTGCAGCCGCCGGGTATGAAACGCGGTGTTTTAATAACTGAGGCCATGGCTTGTTTCTGAAGTGGGGGTTTGCCACGTGCTGCGAACAGAGCGAGGAGGAGCAGCGTTCGCCTGTCGCGGGTGCCGGCGCGTGTTACCGGTGCTGGCCGCGGCTTGCCTAGAGTTTGGTTTTTGTTTGAGCTAGCTGCTTCTGCGAGCATCTCCCTGCTGATGATGGATCACTAGCAAAAGGTCCCTGCTCCCTTCTGCTTTGGAAAAAGAGGCAAATATTCCCTGGGGTTTCTCTGGTGAAGGACGATCTTTTTCTGTGTTCTCTCTCTTAGCCCTTTGCTCCATGAAACACGCTTCAGTCCTGGGGTTTTGCCTGTATACGCAGTCTGACAACGCTGCCTGTGGGTTTGGAGATCATTGTGGGACAAACTTCTGTCCCTCTTCAACCCAACACTGGTACATCCAAAAGTGTTGCTTAGAGGATTAGAACTGGTCCTTGTCCTTCTGCCTGCTTAGCTACGTGAGCCTGCATCAGTGCCAAATGACAATTTCCGTGCGTTCCCAGTTCTCCAGAGCTGTTAAACCCTTACAGAAAATCATCAACCAGCAATATGTTTAAAAAAAAGGAAAACAAGTTTCTGCTGCCTGTGGAGAGCAGGTCATGCCTGATTCATCCTATCCTCAAGGTCTTAAACCTGCCCTGCGGTGCCGAGAGCTGCCGAGTTGCCTTCTCCTGGGCGGTGGGTGCCCTGGAAGCGGCTGTCTGTTGGCCACGCAGTCCTTTTGCTGGCACACACAGGTCCCACGGGGGCAATGGCACAGCAGTTCAGCAGCCCCATTGGCTCCCTGGTGCCTGTGGGAACCTGTCACAGCCCGGGGTGGTTTGGTGTCCACAGCAACCTTCCTTTGGGGAGGATCATCCCTGCGCATGTGAACCCTTGGGAAGCTCTGGAGGAGCAGGTTTCTCTGCCAGTGCCCTCCGCGGTGATGGGTACCAGGATCTGGGACTGGGAAAGAGGAGGTGCTCAGATCTGCATGGGTTTTCCTTCCCCTTACTCCTCCTAGGGTAGGGAAGTAATTGCTGAAATCCTAGAGTTCCTCATCTGAAACATGGGCTACGTTTGCCCCAGGTGCTGCTCCAACTGCTGCGAGGCCCAGTGTGTCCTTATGTGCTTGACCATAATTACGTCGAAATTCATGATTTAGTCATCAAAGGTAAACCAGATCTTTGATTGCCAGCTTGTTCATCAGACTAATAGTCGTGGCCATTCCTCTGCTAGATGTTGTCTGTTTAAACTCTTTGAGAAAAAAACTTAACAGTTTTAGAACAAGTTTTTTCTAAAATCTGCAAATTCCTGCATGCAAGTAGCCAAAGGGCACAACCTGATTGCCTGTATGGCAGATACGTGGGTGAAGACAGCACCCTGCCATCAGTGCGGTCCTCCCAGGGGCTGCAGGACCCCAGTAACGCGATCGTGCTCCCATTTGGGGAGCTGGGGTGGGCTGCACCATCACCTAGCCCGCTCCACATGGCACTTGTGGGATGAATGGCAGACACTAATGCCATCTAGTGACAAAAAAGAGGCGCGATGTGGATATTTCATGAAATACTACTGGAAATTTTATGGCCCCAAGTGGGGCAGGCCTTGGGGCTGGGAAGGAGGGAGACGGGGCTGGGTGCACTGGGGAAAGAAATCCCTTTTCCCTGCTCTCCCGACCTGTCTCTTCCCTCATTTCGCATCCCACAAAGTGCTTCTGCAGGTAACCAAGGACTGGGATCCCCTACGCGAGGCTTTAGAGATCCCCAGGGGAGCGAGGCACGGGCTTCCGAAGCAGCTCTGTTGATTGAGGAGCACAGATTGCCCAATTTACTGCTGGATCGTGGAGCACAAGCCCAATGCCCAGGGACAAGGCAACTGCAGGAGGGGAGATGGCTCGCTCCACGGCTGGCGTGGGCATCGCGGGCAGAGACCCTGGGGGCTTATTTAAGCTGGCAGCATGGGCTGCAGCGCGTGCTGAGCTGAGATGGGGCGAGGGATTGCAGCTTCTGCCACTGTCCTGACAGCAGTGACTCGTTACCGCGGCTCATACACAACCTGCCACTTTTTTTCCTTCCACCACCTTTGTTTCTCCCTCTTGCTTCTGTAGGCGATAGCCGTGAAGGCATTAACACATCGGGTTTCTGCACAAGTAGCTGGCTGGAGATGTTGAGCTTTGTATTAATCCAGCCAAGTCACGGTACCACAAACCTGGAGGAATTAGTTTGCAGTCAGTATTGTTAAAACGAAGATGAAGTTATTTCTGACCATACCAGCTTATTCTGCTTGGCTAAGCTGTCATCGGCAGGCGTGGTTTGCCTTGCATAGGGCTGGTGGTCTGCTGGGAGTATTTTGCAGCTCTGATCATTTCTCCTGCTCCTGAGAAATGCACAGAGAGCGAGCTTGGGGATTAAAAGTTTCCAGTTAAGGAACTTGAGGGTTGAGATAGCTGTGAAGCACGTTACGAATGCACTGAGATGCCAGGCAGCACCCCCAGAAAGATTGGGAGAGAGATGTGGGATGTACCCCGCTGCTGAAGGAGAGCGAGCAAAGCACCCGGATGCGAATCAACTCCTTCGTGGGACATTCCTGAAGTGCGGTGACACCGGGACTAGCGCCAGCACAGGCTGGCGCGTCGCTGGCCCCGCGCCCCGAAGAGCTGCCGCCCTCGCCGGCCCATGGCTCCATCAGCAGTGCTCTGCCCCAGAGCGAACAAGCAGGCGCTTGCTCTGCTCCGTGCTGCTCAGACTTGTCCCTGCTTCCTTCAGAAAGCCATTTACAAGGTCCTTGGGGCCTTTTTGTTGTTTTTCTATTCCAAATGTGAGGGTATCAAATATGCCTCTATTGTCTTAATTTACAAATCTTTTGTGTTATCTTTGCTGCTTCTTTTTCTGGATTATCCTTGTGTCCCCTTGCCTTTCTGCCCTGGATAATTAAGAGTTGGCGGTGTGCCTGTAGCATTCCTGTTTCAGGGCCAAATCAGGAGTGAGAATAAATGCTTCTAAATATCGTATTGAAGCAAATAAGTAATTTACTCATAATAGCTCTTCGGCTGGCATTACACTGGCGATTTCATGCAGGTTTTGCAGGAGGAGCGAGCCGTTGTGAGAGGTTGGAAGAGCCGTGAACCTTGGGGAATATTTGCCATGTGGGTACGATGGAGAGAAGGGCTTCACAGTTTTTGGAAGAGTGCTCCTACTTCTGTAAAGGGATTTTATCCAGCAGTCTGTGACAACGCTGCATTTCATAGATTTGCTGGCCCTAAATTCTGAAAATATCCCTGTCTACCAGGAATTTAGCTGGAAGTGACAAAGGTAAATACTTCCCTGTGGAGAGAAGGCAGGTCTGCTTTACCTTGCGCTTTTGAGTAAGACATCTTTTAGAGCAGCCAGCCGACCAAAACACAGTATAGGTCCACACTGTCTTCTCAGCTCAGTAGAAATCCTTCAGCATTATCACAGCTCCATCTATTCTTTTTCCTGAAGAGATGTGGAAAAGCAAAAAGCATTTAGGGTGCTCTTTTGCCTGAAGCATTCAACACAGAGACATATCCCTATCTATTTGGCATCAGCAGGGCAATATCACCTTGCAGGAGACAAGCAGAACAACTTGCAATGAATAACCTGAGCCTAGTACTAATTTCCTCTTTTCTCTCTCCTTGTAGGGATCCTGTTTACGATGCTGGTATTTGGACCAGCCTGTGGATTTATCTTGGGCTCCTTCTGTACCAAAATCTATGTGGATGCTGTCTTCATTGACACAAGTAAGAACGGGGTTTGGTTTCAAAGCAAATATGCTAATGTTGCATCAGCAGGACAAAAAGGTTGATGCTTACAAGCAGGAAACTGCTTCTTGCTCCATCTTGAGTGCCTCTTGCATGTATGGGTGTCACTTTTAGAGGGGTTTTATGACTGGGATTCAAAAGTTTACAACTCTATCTCCATAGATAACAGATTCGTAGTAGGTAAAATTTGTTCCCTTCCATGGGCTTTTCTAACAGCGAGATGAATTTCAGCCCAGCTCTTAGAGGACACCTTAAAATATGACTGTGGCAGGGCACATCTGCTAGCCATGGACATAGTCTTGCCAGGGGAGCTGTGTCCAGAGCACGGGATGAAATCTGGAGAGCTGCCATGCCCAGGACCTGTGAGGACTGTCCAGGCTCTCTAATGGAGGCACGCCAGTAACACCCATGCCCGGCACCTTCTGTGAATGACCCTGTTTAGATGGACAGGTTCAGTTTCATAGTATCGTTGCTTTTTCCCAAAGCATTGCTAATTACTGCTCACCTTGACTCTGCATTTGGGTTAAAGGAAATTGTTTGCAAATTGTCCTTTTTTCATTAAGAAAAAAATGCAGTCTGCAAATTCCTTTATTGCTGCCTGCACTACGTGCTCTTTGCCATGAGAGGGCAATGTGTAACAGGCTGTTCTCCGCTGCTCCCCAAGCCCTGTGGCTATAGACTGCAAACCTGATGCTTCATTCTCTTCCCTCAGTTGTTCAGATGCCTTTTCTACAGTTCTCAGCTCCATCTGATCCCACAGGCTCTCATCCTGCTGCAGGGGTGTTGTCCCCTTTGAGGGTGCATTCCAGTTCTATGACGTTGCAAATACATCTTCATGGGATGTATCTGGAGGGAATTTAACCTTGCAGGACTCAGAACAGAATTGTGCAAATCTGGAAGAGTGCTACTGTCTTTTCTTTTCTTGCATGCACATGGCAGGTGAAGAAATCTAAATAATATTGAATGAGCAGGAAGGATGTACCTTTTTTGATGGCTCAGACTTTTAGCTGCAGCTTGGTCAGCCACCACATGGCCCCTTTTCATTCCATGGCTTTAGCAAAGAGGTGCCAAAGACTCGCTTGATCCTGTATGCAGAGGAGCTTGTTTGAACCCTATTATCTATTTGACCGTTAAGTATAAATTACTCCTAAACGTGAATGTGCAGAAGATGGTATTTCTTCTTCCAGTAGGTGAAGCTGTGGAACTCCTCATCCCAGGATGTTAAAAGTCTACAAATGGGTTTAAAAACAGTTGGATGAGTTTATAGAAGAAAAAATGAACATGACACCAAATCTAGCTTAGAAAGCCCCTGAGCCACAAATCACAAGAATAGTATCAGGTGTATGTTGACTTTATTCTTGTGGACTTTCTGGGCATCTGTAACTGGTTACCGTCAGAGGCAAGATGCTGGCCTAGCTAAAAAGTTAATTTGATATGATCTGGCTATCTTTTAACATAAGGCAGTGCTCCGTATTTACAGCTCAAAAAGCCCCAGACAAATACAGAGCCACGGAGGTGAACGATGGGGCATTACCACTGAGAAGCCTCGAGGGGCTGTGGCTCAGCCGGTCTTAGGGAGGGTATAGCGCTTTCCAGCTGCAGGTCCAGCTGGCTTTGGCCAAGGTCCATGGCTGTCACATGAAGGCTGGGGCACACATGGCCTCTGTCTATTTCTGTATGGGAAAGAGCTTCAGCGTTGCAGCTGGCTCTGCCTTGCAGCTTGGGGTGGCATGAGGAGACTGAGCTCCAGAGGGTTGAGCCCTGTCGTGCTCCCTGTTTTGGGCAGGAGGTGTGGGATGCCATGGCACGCCGCTGTGCTGCCCTCCATGCAGGACCTATTTTAGGGAGGGGATATGAAGAAGACCTCGGTTTATCTGGCTCTTCACGTGGCTATGTTCCCAAGAACCTGAAAAAAAATGCACTTCAGGCAGGAAGAAATAACAGCAGAAGAATGCAATCCCTCCAAAACACTGTTTCCCAAACCTTACATATATGTGAGAGCTACGTGTTATTTTCCCTAAGGAGAAAAGAGTTTCCTTCCATCTCTGCTTGAGAGACAACTTGATTGCCTCACTTGAGACACATTTTTCAGAGTGGCAGTAACCAGACAGACAGCATGAATGGAGGAGCTTGTTATTCCAGCCACACAGACCCGGGTCTCCCCCAGGAATCAGCTCCGGCGCTGGGCACCCTCCACCGGCTGGCTGAGCGGCTGTGGCAGCGAGGTGGCTGTTAGGAGCACAGTTTCTTCTCTCCTGTTACTCATTTTTATTCCCCCAAACTGACTCCAGAGCCCTATTTTCCCTTATCTCCATTGAGTGATGGCCTACAGGATACTCTTGCCTTTTGCTTTGCTTTTCTTCATTTTGTGATGTTTTTGCTACCTTTCTGAGCCCATTTGATGCAGAGGGTGGGTTTCTTTTCCAATATTTAGGACTGTTTCACCCTCCACACAGTCATAAGTGCCCATAAAGCCCAAATGCCCATCTCTCCTTTGCTGAAGAGGGCTGTGAATTCAAAGGAAGGACAGCACTGACCTCCTGGGAAAAAAAGGGTAAGCCAGGGTGGAGATGCAATGTCCTTGTCTGTGCTGCTGCTGCTTCATGCAGGTCTTGGTGCCAGGAGGTATGTCAGCTTTGTGTGCACATTTGACATGCTGGGACAGTGATGTCCAAAGCCTCAGTGCCAGCACGGGGGTCACTGACTGGTATATGGCAGCGTCCTAGAGCTGGCAGAGCCAAAGACACTGGAGAGAAGCTTTGATTACAGGGTGTTGCAGAAGCTGGATGTACCGTCTAGATAGACAAGGTGATGGGTTGCTTGTCCTATGGACCGCTTGGATGTGGAGGTCATTACGCACTGGTGGCTCACATGGTATGTGCGTGGGCTGCACTGTGGGTCCTCACCATGTGCCTGGGAGCTCCTCATCAGCCAACAAAGCACCCAACAACCATCTTCCAGCCTACAGGATCATTAGCACTGTCATCTTCCCCTCCCCGTGGCCAAGCCACTGACATGTGTGTGTGCCTTTGCAGGTAAGCTGGACATAACCCCGGACGACCCTCGGTGGATCGGTGCATGGTGGGGAGGCTTCCTGCTGTGTGGTGCCTTACTCTTCTTCTCGTCCCTGCCAATGTTTGGGTTCCCGCAGTCCTTGCCCCCCCGGCCGGAGCACGCCGGGGAGAGCGAGCAGGCCATGCTTCCCGAGAGGGACTACGAGAGACCCAAGCCGAGCAACGGGGTCCTGCGGCACGCGCTAGACGGGGAGAGCAGCACGACCTGCTTCCAGCAGCTGCGAGGTGAGACCCTGGCTCTTGTCACGTTTTCTGTGAGTCAGCAACAGGTTAACAGCTGGCTGGATTTATAATTGGTCTCTAATTTAGGTTATCTACCTCTACCCCCAAAAAAATCTCCCCCAAAACTCAGTATCCTGAAATTTCAGTCCCTAGCTTCTAATTATCTCTGCCATTGTCCTCATTTTAAAGAGAGATTTTGTTCCACTTGAAAGGTTTGGGTTTTTTTTTTTAAACTACAAAGCTTCAGAAATCCACGATAGTCCTGTAGAGTTGATAAAAAAATAAAGGGAAACACAGCTGCCAAAGCAATTTATGAACTTCTTTCCAGCCTACTGTCCTGCTCCCCTCTGCCTCCCAAAATGGAGAGCAAGCCAGCAGTTAAAAGAAATTGGGAGCTCCTGGCATCAGAGCTGCAGCTTAGTGCAATCCCAGATACAAAGCAGGGATTGCTGGGCACCACCACAGCTCTTAAACTGGGAGGGGGAAGAGGTAGATACCAGCCCAGAATAGCAGCAAACTGGCAGGGCAGAATGTGGCTTGTAGCCAATTAAGAGTAGAAAACCCCACATTGTGTCCTGCAGCGATGGAACTGGACCTGTTGGAGCTGACCTCTAATCAAGGTCAGCTAAGGATCCAGCATTTTGTGTGAGCGTGTGGGCTGATATCCTTTCCGTAGGCAGCACTGGAAAATCCTTCATCTGAGAGTGGTTCTGTAGCACTGGTGGTTGCTTCCACTCTGTCACTGTAGCAGAGCGAGTTTCATTACTGCCTGATGCATTTAGATAAATGAGGACAAAATCACTTACTCCCTCTGCAGATGCCTTAATTGGGAGTTGAATGAGGTGTGAGTGGGAAGGCAAAAGAGTCTTTGGGGAAAAAAATGTTTTCTTAAATGTAAAAATGCCTTGAATAGTTGATGTGGTTGTTCATTAAGGGAAGGTCAAAGATGTGAAATTTTGACTTGATGAGAAAATCCAAAAGAAAGGTAAAGGGATAAATTGTTTGAAAGTTTGTCAGTAAAATTAATTTCTTCATCCTTTCATTCTTTTTACAAGGATTTTCTCAAGTTTGAGGAATGTTTTTTTCCTATGGTACGTCCAGCTGGATAATTCTGTGGGTTTTTTTGTGGACTTATCAAGCATCTGCTTCTTTCTGGCCACTGAGTTTTTGGAATGGGCACTGGAAATTTTTGCAGGTTTTCATATAGAAAAATGAAAGGATACAGCATGTCCTGCTACATGGAGGGGCAGCAGTTCTGCCTGAGGATGGTGCTGAGCAAGCCGAATTTCTTGCACACAGGGAGGCCCTGGGCGGGTTCCTAGAGCATCTGTTGCCCATTGAAGTGTAGAAATTAAACTGCCACATCCATATGCTTCAAAGTACCGATTACATCAGGAGGCACCACAGTCTTCCACGTTAGCCTCCTCATTGCAGGTAACCCCATTTTGGATGAGTCAGTATCCCAAAATTCTCTTTGTAGATGTACTTTGAAATATAATTTACAGCACATGAATTAAGACAGGGAATGACCTTTTTAGTTATGCCTTTGAGGCTGTCACAGATGACACGGCGTTGGTAGCTGACATCTTTCTAGTCCGCTGCCACTCTTGTCACAGTTGGAACATGGTCAAGAGTCATGTTTGCTGAAGTGCCCACCTGGAGGAGATGTTCAGACATGTAGCACAAGGGAAGGCAAACGTGCCTCACTCATTTCTGATGAGCAGTGTTTAAGGGGGTGGGTTGAATCTTGCTGTGCATATACGTTATTTTGCCAGGAGCTGAAAAATATATATGCATTACTGTGTGGCAGGACCTAGCATCCTTAATCTAGTTGTTCATTATGTGAAGTTTCCTCTGAGGAACGTTAGACTGTTTAGCCTTTTTCCTAGGATAAAAAGAACTGGTAATTATATACAGAGGTTAAAAATACATGTGCACACATAGTCATGTCTTCTGTCCTGTTATGGGCTTGGGGTTTGCATGTGTTTATGAAGCTGAACAGCAGAGGATGTACCTGTACATGGCCTTGGGGGTGGAGATGCTCACTGGGGTTTGTGTGGCCGTAACTCTGACTCCTTTTTAGCAAGTACTGTCTCTGGAGCGCGGTCCTGTGTGCCAGCTGTAAGTCCATGTCTGTAGGAGGTGTGGATTGTCCATCTCTTGTGCGCAGTGCGGAGAGGAAGAGTTGTTTCTCTCGGCTGAGTGTGCAAACACACTGTGTATCAATGGTGCATCCTTAGTGGCTGCACTGAGTCTCCATTTTGGCTATTGAAGGGGTTTTGATTTTTTTTTTTATTTTATTTTACTTTTTTTGAGCCTTGCAGTGACTGTTGCAAGTGAGTGGACATGGCAGGAGGGGAAGCAGGGTGGTGTGAGTGGGAGATGTGCTCCCAGCTGGGTCACGGCTGTCAGTGGGCGGCATGGCATGGCAGGCACACGGGAGGATGCGCGAGGCGCGGCTAGATCTGCTGAAAGACAGTGAGGTGGAGGGCTGGGTGAGATTCCTTGCCTGTCTCTAGCCATAGCACTCACAAAAGGTAGAACTAATACAAAAGGAACCAGCTCAAAGTGTCAAAAAGTGTTTTACCCTGTATCAAGGTGTGAAGAGGAGGGAGGGCCCAACTTTTGGGAAGTGATGGCATCTCTTCATGCGGGATATTTTCATGCCAGGATAAGGGGCATCCTTAAGAGGAGCTTCAAACTGGAAATGAAAATGGTGCCTTTGAACTGCACAAGGTGAGGGGGAGGAGGGGCGGGGGGGCGGGGGCGCCCCCGCCACGGCAGCTCCATGCAGCAGCGCGGGCAGCGGCATGACGGCTCGGGCGAGAAAGCTCTGGGACAGCCCTGGGAGGTGTTAAACTGAAGTATGAATACTGCACCGCTTTACCTGATCAGTGTTTCGATTAAGCAGCACGAATCCATTCGGGAACACAGGGGAGTGAAGGATTAATAGCAGGGAGAGGATGGCTAAATGCTGCCGTTGCTCTTTGCTCTCGGCTGGCAGCCTGGAAGGGTTGTTCCAGCCCTGCGCTCTCCGTATGGTCTGTGAAAGCACTTGAGGCGCGGGCTGTGGCAGTCCTTGCTGTCCTGGGGGCACAGCTTTGCTTTCCTGCCTCTCGTCTGCCTTGGGGACCTCTCTGCTCTTCAGGGCTGGAGACGATGCTCGGCTGTGTCAGGGCACCCGTGCCCGCTGCTCGTGTCTGTCCGGCATCTTCCCCGTCACTCGCTGTTAACACGCTGCCTCTAACCCACCCCCTGCTCTAGGACCTGCTTGGAAATGTTTTGTTAAAATCACTTTTTTCATACAGAAATGTCGCTTCCGTTAAGTTGAGTGGTCAGTTCTTATGAAAGTTGGTTTCAAAGTGCTTCCTTGTCTTTAACACCCCTGAAACATTCTGCTCTAAATTTGGGGTTTTTTTGCAATGATTTAAACGAGAAATGCATTACATTCTGCCTGTCTGTCTAGTGAGAGAGAGATTAAAAACCTAAAAGGACTGAAACTGATATGGAATCCTTCAGGTTTGGAGAGAGTAGCTCATTCACAAGGAATTAAAAGCAACCTCACGGTGGAATTAAATTAATTTCAAAGCTGAAAATTCCCTAGATTTGGAAACATTTTGGTTTCTGTCCAGCTTCATTTCCAAGAGTGTAGGAGAGCTGGGATGTACAGCTGACAACTGTCTTGTCTTCTGTTCGGTGCCTTCCTGCTCTGTGTACCAATCTGCTGAATACCTAGAGAGGGAGCTGCTCTGAATCCTGAATTTTTGTCCCCAAAAGTGCTCCCTGGGAGGAGACATGTAGCACTGGGCCAGAAGCTCCCAGCTGTGCAGAGGGCTCCCGAGCCATGGAGAGCCTGTAGTCCTCAGTGGGAGTTCATAAGATTAAGTGGGATTAATGGCTAACATGAGTAGTTTTTAAACTCATGGCTCTGACGAGTGATAGTGACAACTTTTTGGAGAGGGCTCCATCTGTACCTTCGTTCATGGCCAGAGAGGTGAGTCTTTGGCCCAGATCCAGATGAGTACCAGGACCTTAATGCCTTTTTGGATTTGGGTCTTGGCTCCCTACCAACATCTGAAAGGCTTGTTGAGAAATCCTAATCTTAGGTAAGGGGGTGGCAGATGATCATAAAAGGCCCCACATCAGGTTCCACCAGTGTCCGAGTTTCCTTTGGCTTGGATTTCATGAGGATGCGGGCTTTGTTGGCAGGTTCTTCTTGGCTTATTTCAAAGTGAGCATCCTTATTATCAGAAGCTGTAATTCAGAAAGGCTTTCAGCCTGTGTGCTCCGGGGCAGAAGCTGAGCAGCAGCTCAGGGCAGACAGAGCATCTATGTCTCTGAAAAGATACTGTGCCTTGCTGTGACCTCCATGACGTGGGTGAGGGAGGGAGGTTTATGTCCCTTTCTGAAGTCAAGCAAAGGTGGTTGCTGGAGGCAAGATGATAGACTAGAAGGACCTGCTTTCCATCCATGAGAATCACAGAATCACTAAGGTTGGAAAGGACCTTCAAGATCAAGTCCAACCGTTAACCCAATGCCACCATGCCCCCTAAACCATGTCCTGAAGCACCACATCCACATGTTTTTTGAACACTTCCAGAGATGGTGACTCCACCATCTCCCTGGGCAGCCTGTTCCAATGCCTGACCACCCTCTCAGTGAAGAAATTTTTCCTAATATCCAATCTAAACGTTACTGTTGCTTCAAGCTTGTATCTGTCAAGAAGCCTTCTTGACATAGATGTCATCCTTTTCCTTCATATCCTTTGTGATACTAATTTTGCCAAGGCCACATGGGCTTCAGCATATTAAACTCACCTGAGATATCTTCAGCACCTCTTGCTTACTCCATCTTCTCCTTTATAGGAGCTGCTTCTGTCCAAGAGGTATTTTCGTCTTGCTGCCTGCATTATTTTCTTCATCCCTTATTCCTCAAGCCAGGTGGAGATTTTGTTTTCTATTCAGATCTGAGACTTGCTGCCTACGTTGCTGTTAGAAAGTAATATTTTGGCTCAACACTGTATTTCACCTTTCCCTCAGTGCACTGTCCTAGGTGGACTGGGTTGTAAACCTCCCTCTAATTTATTACTTTGCTTTCTGTGTTCCTCATCTTTACTGCAAATTGAAAACATGTCTCTGTAGGGTGCTCCAACTGGAAAAAGGGGCCTTGGTGATTGTAATGTTTCAAACAATTCATTTCAAGCACCAACATGATGATTATAGTTTGTTGTTTCTGGAGAGTAGTTAAACCTCATGTAATGAGGTTGCCAATTATCCCTGGTACTCCCCGATGTTTAGTGACAAATCAAAGCTACTTGGTGTACTTAAGTGTGTTTGCTTGTCAAGCCTGTGGCCTCTCACCCACAGCTGGCCCCACAGCAGGAGATGGGGAGGACGCTTGATGCCTTGGCACGGGTGTTCAAAGGTGGGAAGTCGAGGGATTAGCAGGGGTATTGGAGAGCTTTGGGACATCCTTCTAGGTCCCTTCCAAGCTATGAATGATCCTGTGACCAATGCTGCACATGGATGGTCTGAAGAGTTGGATTTTAAGTACTTCAGCAGTGAAAGGAGGCTAAGGTTTCTTGTTCTTCTCAGTGTATCTTGACATGGCAATGAGAACCACTTGTCTACCATCGTTTCTGTAGCATATTGGGTTCATTGGGATAAGGATGTTAAATGAGCTGGTCCTTCTGAGCATGAGCCTTTCTGTGCCGTGTCAGATACAGTTCATGGGTTCTCCAAGAAGATTTCTGAGACTCTCTTTTGAATCCAAAACACCTTTCCCTTTTCTCATTTGGCAAAGGGACTTCAACTTCAGATTTAAAGCTCCAAAGTGCCGCTACAAAGCACTCAGCTAACATTTGGGCCAAGGCACAGGGTAACATTTATCATGACTTCTGCTGGGATCGACTCCAGCGAAGAAGCACCGTGCTTAGCTGTTATGTTTCCCAGGGCTTTACTGTCCCCCATCAGACATTTTCCATTCCCTCTTCATACCCAGCACCATATGCCAGACAGCTGAAAGCATGTCACTCTAGTCTGTTGAGAGATTTTTAAACTTCACTGCTGACTTTTAATCTTGTTCCCAGAGGTATTTCACCCCAAGAACTGAGACAGATAAGGCAGCAGCAGGTGTCAAATGATTCATCTTAATGGGTGGCAGTAGGAACGTGAAAGGATATTAATTTCTATGGGGAGCTTCCTGTTATTTCCCTTAGAAAATTAAAGGGAACGAGCTGGGCCTGGCTGAGGAGATCGTAGAGGCTTCCAGGAGTTGCCTGTGTTGCCTCTGCACTCTTTGCACTGGGTTTTCTGTTATAGCCACCAGCTGGTACAGAGCCCTGTTGCAGTAGATGGTGGTCAAATGTGCAGTGGCAGACAGGATCTGTCCCAGAAAGCACACCTGGACACACAGGGAGGAGAAGCAATGATGAAGTGATAGGGCTCATAGGCATGAGAGCCTCCTTTCTTGTCTGAGATGGTGCAATAACTCTGCAAAATCTTTGCTGTCTTGCCCTAAGCACGAAGGATGGATTTTGACCTTGGTAACGCATGATGAGTTGGTACCATCTTTGCCAACTTCAGAAATAAATGTCCATGATCTTTAACTCCCTCCTGCAAAAGACAGGCTGTCACTGATATTGTTTGGTGGATAAAGTTAGAGGTAGACCTTTGCATCTTTGCATTTGAATTGGCACAAAGCTACATCTTGAGAAATCCATTAATCTCGAACTAGCTGAAATCCAGAGGCACAACAGGCATTAATACCTTAAATATGGCTTTCCAAGCTTAGCGCTGCCAAGTCCACCTTTGCATTTTCTCTCCTTTTCCTGGCAAGAAGGAGAAATTCTGTAGGTGGCCACCGAAGAACTGAAGGAGGCAGCAGGTGGCTTCTGAGATCTATCCATATCTGGATCCCCACCCCGTTCCTCCCTAATGGTACTTTTTTCTCTTTCTCTTTTTTTTTTTTTCACCTTTTCTGCTATAAAATACTACGCCTCCTGTACCTTCATTATGTTCAGCAAATCCTTAGGAAGTAAGAATTTTATATAGCATGAAAAAACATTAGTGATATAAAGGGATCAGAAACTGTGGGGTGGCCCCTTCCAAAAAGGTTGGATCAAACCTAATTATAACCCTTTTTTCCCCCCAAAGAAAGAACCAAGGGGACCCAAGCAGAGCCTTGACAAAGAGCTGTGCATTTACTTGCTGAGGCCAGCGCAATTAGATTTTGCACCCAAAAAAAAGCCCTAAGGGAAAACAGAAGCCAACACCAGAGGAATCTGTCATCTGCCAGACCCTAGTACACCATAGGGGATGTGGGGAATGGATTTTCAAAATGCAAATAGGGGTCCATTGAGGCCTCACTACACTTTAGCGAGGTAATTTTCAAGCTTAATGATTTTCACATTTAATTCAGGGAGAAATTAGTCATCAGGTATTGAGACAAAGCAAGGCTCTCTTCTGTACTGGGATGCTCTCCTCTTCAAGCTGTGTTATCTCGGCAATAATTAAAATGTTCACTGAAGTAGAAAATGTGCTATCTGATTCATTAGCCAGATTTCCCTTTGTAAGGTAACTCATGTTTGCTTATCGGAAATAGAGACGGGCTTGGAGAAGAGGACTCTGGATGCTAATGATTTGGGAGAGAGGAGCCAAGGGATCATGAAACTAAAGCAAGTGTGCGTGCGTCTTGGTGAATAGTTCAGCATGTCCTCTTCCACCCTTGCAGCCACCATAGCTAGTAGGGTCTGCATGGAAGGCGTTGCTTGGCTGGTGAAGCTCTGGGTTGTGGGAACACACAGGCTAACATTCCTGTCCCAGGCATGAGGTCCCTTATGCCCATGGGTGACTGTCGCCCCAGGCTAAGTGGAAGAATTTCAGCTTGTACCCAGATGTGCTGCAAGAAGGTGTCTCTCAGCAAGTGAGCCAGCGTTAATGTGGGAATAAGAAAATAAGGCAAATCTGCATGGCAGGAGAAAGAAAGTCCAAGTGTGAGCTGGGTTAACTTGTGTCTGAAAGCTGGCAAGAATTTGTGCTGTGCTGAGTACAGTACTCATGACACCTATTGGCTGG